TAACATAAGTACAATATTCTCTTTGTAGGTGGCAGCAGCTGCTGATAAACAGGCTCGTAGGGTACGATACTATTCTGATGAATAGTTTGTTGAATTCTCCTGGTCAAGGTATTAATTATTCACATGCTAGCAAATTCCTGAATTATTCAAATATAGTACTTTCTGGGTAAATTTATTCTGTTTCAAAACTGGACATTTGCATGTGGCAAATACCTTTTCGTTTGATAATTGCTTATCACTTGAGGAGTTATTGTTGGCTTTTCCTTCTCTTTCAAACCCTGATATTGTCAGAGGTTAAACTGCTAGTAGTAAATAAATCATGACTCTTGTCATGAACTTATCTGTCCTATATCATATTTTTTTCTTTCCTGTACATCACTAATGTGCAATTGTTAGTCAAATAGCCTAATTGTATGTTACTACTAGAATCATAATACAAAGCACTAAAGAAGTCACAGTTCAATATTCTGTAAGCACAATCAAATATGATAGGAGGCAGGGTTGTGCGCTAATATTCTTGTGCTTCTAATCATTCTGACAGTTCATATGAATAATCCATGCAGGTTATCTTTATAACTACCAAACAAAGGAGTTCTACAATCTTACTTATGCTCACGAGCAACCTGAAAGTTATGCAAAATTTGGAGGTTGGGGAGATTTATTTGCAATTTTGTTGTATGCTTCATGTACAACACCACCATCAAGTTTCACTTCTCCTGCAGTTGCATTATTTGTTAAATTTTTCTGCATTATTATGACATGTTAGAATTTTTTAGCAATTATTTTTCGAAGTATGAAGCAACATCGACATAAATAATTTCATTGTTCAAAATTGATAACTAGTATAATCAAGATATATTTGGGATATATGCTCTAAGAAAGTCTCCCTTCATATTAAATGGATAAACACTGTTAAAGGAAAAAAAATAGGAGCTTTTAGGCTCCCTCTGCTCCAGATCAAATGCGCACTATTCTGAAATTGGATGAAGCTATCAATTTTGAGGGAGGTTGCTCAGACATTTAGTAGATTCATAAGAGGAAGAGATAGTGAAATATTTTTTTATATGACAATTGGCATCTATAGTACTATGCAATTTGGCATCAGGTTACCATCTTTGGCTGATAGAAACCAGAGAGAATATTAACAGAAATCATGAAGCCAAGATGATTTTCTTAATGCTACCTATTAGTATAAATCGGTCTTCATTGACCACAGCCAGGAGATGCTCATGAACCCTTAATAAAGTAGGACAGATAAACTGAGTTACTTTCCAATTGACAGAGTAGAAATATGGATCTAAGGGCTTGTAGTTGAATATGTATAGTAAGAGGTAGGGTATGGTGAAATGAGAATTGAAATATTATTGCTCTGGAATTGAAATGAAACGAACAGCTCCCAGAGCAATTTATGAGGCCCAGTAGCTCTCCTTACTGACTTCTAGACTCTTCCTAAAATGAATCCCCTCCTCCCATATTTTCCCCCCATTACATTTATTCCCCCATGACTCAATTACCCAATATACCCCTTACTCTTAACTACTAAACAGAACTTGAATGAAAAACAGAATTGGTTTCCCTGCCCTATCTCCCTTCCTTTGTCACTGTCACCTCTCCCTTCTTTCTTCTTGCATATGTAAACTTAATAGGGGGCCTATCATTACCCTCTTCTCCGAAAATCACCTTTTCCTCAAGTGAAACTCAGGGAACTGCATCCTGATGTTGTCAAAAAGGTCCCAGGTAGCCTCAAACTCTGGAGAATCCTTCCATTTGATGAGAACCTCTGGCCCCAACACTGACCCTGAACTAGGAGAACAAACCTGTAATGTTGCTTCTGGCTCCACTATGAATTGACCATTTGCAGCTAGTTGAGTTGGTAATTGGCCAACTGGCTGAACCGTGCCAATGGCGTTCCACAGCTGGGATTCATGTAACACTGGGTGGATGGTTGCCTTCAAGGAAAGCCTCAATCTATGGGCAACCTGCCCCACCTTTGCTTCCACTTCCAATGGCCCATAGTAGCGTGGAGAGAGTTTTGCAGATAGACTACTAACCATATTGTTGGCGATAAGGTCTCAATTTTAGATACACCAAATCCTTGACCTCAAACTGAATATCCCGATGCTTCCCATTGGCTTCCTCTTTCATCCTTTGTTGTGCACGTTGAAGTTGCAGTTTCAATTCCTATAGAACTTCATCCCGAGCGACCAAAGACCGCTCCACTGATGACACAACTTTACCCCCTTTCTCAAACGGCAAAACCAGAGGTAGGTCACATCCATACACAATCTGAAAAAGAATGTGTTTAGCGATTGTGTGAAAAGTAGTATTATAGCAGAATTCCGCCCACGGTAGCCATTGGCTACACGAACGTGGTTTTCAAGAAGCGAAGCATCTCAAGTACGTGTCTAGTGTCGATTCACCACCTCCATTTAACCATCTGTTTGTAGGTGGTAAGGTGGTAAGCTGTACTCCTCACGAGAACTGTCCCCTACACTTCGAATAACTCATCCCAGAATTTGCTTATAAAATTCCGATCCTTGTTGGAAAAAATAGAATGAGGTATACCGTGTAAATGGACAATCTCGTAGATAAAAACACTTGCTACAAAGTGAGCAGTAAATGGGTGCTTTAGGTAGATGAGATGACCATATTTACTCAATCAATTGACAACCTCTAGTATAGTGTCCCATCCGTCTAACCTTGGTAACCCCTCAACGAAGTCTACTGAAATGTCCGCCCACACTAAGTTTGGAATTGGAAGTGGTTGTAATAGACCTTAAGGCGACAAAGCAATGTACTTATTCTGTTGATGTACTGTGCAACGAGCCACAAAATCCCTTACATCCTTCTTCATTCCATTCCAATACATCTCTTGAGCCAACATTCGGTATGTTTTTAAGAAAACTTGAATGGCCACCAACACGGGAATCATGACATTCCTTTAGCACTATGATGCTCGGACTCTCCAAAAATGGCGAAGTATCCGTGTCGACATGGATACTGACATGGGATACGTGTCGAACGCTCGATTTTGAACTCGGACACGACTGGCAATTTTTGCAAAATTTGCAGAAAACATGTTGGAGAAGACGACCTTTGAAGAAGATGAAAGGTTGTGGTTTTGTATTAAATGGGCCTATGTGGAGCCAATGAAAAAGTTAAAGAAATGGGGAATTTCCATGACCGGTTGGCCCCCCTCAATAATTGTATTCTTCCAATAAAAAAAAAGGAAAAAATGAAGAAAGAATTAAGTGGTTTAAAGTCAACAATTTATACTACCATAATGAGGGTTATCTCTAAAGGTTTTATTATTTATTGTAAATGCAATGATTTGTTGTTTTATTGAAGATAAAATTAGTTTAATATTTAATTCTAAATTTGTTTGATTTAATAGTTTAAGTTATATTTATCCATTTTGAGTGATTTAAATCTGTTAGAAAGCTTACATTCTTTGCTTTAATTGAATCATTTTTTTGGGAAAAAATAATTATAAGACGTATACTCGTACCAATATCCAAAATTCAAATCCTTTTTAAACGTGTCCCCATATCTTAATTTTTAAAATGAGAAGAATCCGACTCCTAGATATGTACCCGTACCCGACACCCGCACCCAAGTCCGAGCATCATAGCTTCAGCATTAGCTCTATAGGAGAGGATTTTGGTAACACTAGCCGGCCTTTATAACACAAATTCCACCTTTCAATGAGTAACCCAACTTAGTCTCAGTCTATGTTTGTAAGCAACCAAGTATTCATCCTAATTCATCATCCACGGCCGCTGCCTTCTTAATATCTTCCAACTGTAGCACCCCGGGAGTCGATAAAGTTAAAACACTCAAAGTAGGTTCAATCCTCGAGAGGGCATCCACAGCCTGATTTTCTATGCCTGGATGATAATGAATTTCAAAATCAAAGCCTTGCAATTTCGTTAACAACTTCTGATCAAAATCAAAATGAGTTTGGGGAAAATGAATTTTCAAATAATGGAGCTCAAACAGGGGCTAAATGAAACTGTAATTCTGGATCTGAACTGACCTGAGCCAGTTTTTAGATTTCCCAAACAGACCCACATTTCTTTGTCTTAGTTGCTTTTGCCAGTGTATGTAACATTGACACTCTTGCAACATGGTTTGGAGAAGATAATTGATATAACAAAAAATAAATTATAATCTTATTTCAGCAGCATATTGACATGCTTGGTAATACGTTTACTGTCTCATTTTGCGATTGGTATTTGTAACCCCAGACTTTCTGATATTGAATTAGCATGGCATTGAATTGATTATGGGATTAACACAATATATTTTCTCTGTCTTCTATTTCTTGCAGACTATCTTGTGACCAAGTGTGGTGTGCTGATGATGTCACTTTTTGTTTTCTTCACAACCACGATGTCAGTTTCATTTACATTGAGAGAGACACAAACTCGTATGCTAAAGTTTACAGGTTTGTTTGATGGATTAATTATTTAAATTCTGTGACGTCAACTTTGCAGATGGAGATTATCTGAAGGCACCAAGAAATGTCTACAGATGTTAAATTATCATCACATCTTACCTGAAAGAGTCTCAATCAACTTGAATGTCACACCCACTTCCCACAAACAAACATCACACCTACCCATCCATACACAAAACAGAATGTCATAATAGGCTTTCACCACAAAAATTATGGGGTTGCAACTGGCTTAAGAAAAATTTACTATTGCTGATTCTGGAGTCCCTCAATGTATTAATCTGTCTTTCGATTTTTAGGTGATTCATTGGGATTCTAGGCTTATTTGTCTTGTCTTGATTGGCATTTCCGTGTCTCAATTTTTTGCAGTGCAGCTCCAGCATCATGCTCGGCATAGGCTTCCAACATTTCAATTGATCTTTGTGCATGTAATCGAGTCCCTTGTATTCGTACCGGTTAGAATGCAGCTTCTTTCATTTTTTCCCATTCCTAATATCGTATTCTGCTCTTCTATTTTTATTGCCTTTACTGATATTAATTGACTCTTGTGCATCCAGATTATGATTGGCATCCTGTTTTTCCTCTTCGAGTTTTATGACGATCAGTTATTGGCTTTCATGGTTTTAATTCTTGTCTGGCTCTGCGAGTTGTTCACG